CATATTGGTCACTCAATACCATGTCAATTAACCCCATAATGATGCAAATTGTTGTTGATGTTATGTTGTGGCTTTTCATTGGACGGGATGATATTCTGCCAGCTCTGCTTTCAGATCAGAGATGGTCTCCCCAAGAAACTGTTGAATTTATCTGGACAATAAGAGGGTGGACTCTATGCATGGAACATGCTTGCAATGAAAGAATCATGACTGGATTTAAACTGTAACACTGCAACAAGGTGGAGGAATCCACCATGGGGGGAGGGTACGGGGAGGAGTTTGGGTACTCCCAGAGCCTATGAAACTGTGTCATAAAATGAAAAAAAAAAAAACGAACAAAGCAGAAAGTTTCAGGATGAACTTGTAATAACAGCCAACCTGGATGGTTTGGGTGAATAATGCATTTGAGCAGGTATCATCTCCCTTGTCCTCTTGTTTTCATCCCTGAAATCTCATGCCCCAAGTTATTCCAGATGTCTACTCCAAAGATGTGCTTACTTGAATATTCTAAAGTTGAATGGTAGAGAACAGATGGAATAAATAGAGATTACACAAAGTAAATCAAAAATTTAGATAAACTATGATTCACAAGCAAAATTCATTTTTCTTTTTTTTTTTTTTAACATTTATTTGTTTTTACTGGAAAGGCAGATTTACAGAGAGATGGAAAGACAGGTCTTCTGTCTGCTGGTTTACTCCCCAAATGGCTGCAATGGCCAGAGTTGAAATGACCCAAAACCAGGAGCCAGGAGCCTCCCTGGGTCTCCCACATTGGTGCAGGATCCAAAGATTTTGGGCCATTCTCTGCCGCCCTCCCAGGCCACAAGCAGAGAGACAAACAGGAAGTGGGGTAGCAAGAACATGAACTGTGCCCATTGAGGATCCTCACACTGAGGGAGGATTAGCCAATTGAGTCATTGCACTGGGCCCACATTTTTCTCTTTGGGAACCTATCTTTTGCTCCTAGATTTCATTCCTAACCTGAAATGTTAAAATTATTCACGTACATACTTCAAAAGCTGTAGTATATGTAAACTATCTATACAAAGTACAAAGTTTTGAGTATTTCCAAAATCTCTAAACATTCCAGTTTAGGCCAAAAAGAAACTATGCTGTGATTGGGAAATCTAATGCTTTCCTGGAGTCATTTAGATGAGAGTCAGTTTCATATGAAGGATAGTTTTCCACTTTTACTTCCTCTCTCTCAAGCTCCCTCTCCACCTCCTTCTATGTGAACAACTTTAGGCAGTCTTTATGTAAAGGCCTCAAGGCTATGCAAATAATAAGTTATCACAGAATTCCATCTATTAAACATCTTGGTTTCAAACAATACTGAAGCAAATGATTTCAGATAGAAATCATACTGACTGGGAAAGTACCACTAAAAATAAGAAGCCCAAAGGATCAAAACTTCTACAACATTTGCACACAATCTGTTATTATAACTTAATTATTTTGTGTCCAATGCCTGCTCTTCAACTCTCTGTCTACCTTGGAATTTCCACAACTCCATAATAAGTGACCTTGGAGCAATCCTGGGGAAGTAGACGTAGGTATAACAAATGATTACATTAACCCTGTCTAAAGGAAGGGCTGTGCAAACTGAAAAAGAATGTTCTACATGAAAGATGAGAAAAAGACAAGACTTGAAAGCTGACAACCAACAGAGGAAACAGAAATGGACCATCTGGCAGTATGACATAAGCCAGGCAAATTGAGGAGTGGGGAATTGGCAAGGTTTCACTCAGCCTGAATGAAACAGTCACCCAAACCATTCAAGTATTATATCTCTGATTCCAAGCTCACATAGAAGCTTTTAGCTAGCTTCTCAAATATCCTGAGATATGGAGCCAGAAGCCAGATACAGACAGTATAAAAACCTAAGTCCCTGGATAAGATTATCCCCTACATTTCTGTTTATGCAAAAGAGACTATAGTCTAAAGTGCCCAAGAGCTAGAGACATAATGGCTTCAAATCCTTACTCCGCTTAACTTTTCTGTTTCAGTTTTCCTGTTCAGTGAGAGTAATGCTAGTGATGCTTACTTCAAGTGTTGTCACATGGACTGTTAATTCATGCAAGGCACTTAAGCAGTACTTGATACATAGCACTCAATAAAACTACAATGATTTTTTCATAATAATTATTAAACATCTCTCACAATTTAAATGTGTGAGTCAAAATCTGTGACCAACTTTAACAAAAAAAAAAATGATTATCAAAGAAATGCTTTAATATAAGGCCTCAATGGTCAGGCAAGAATATAAAATGTGTGTATGTACTGGGAGGAGCTCAACTCGAAGAGGCAATCAGGATGACACCTGCAACCCCAGAATCCTGTATTAGTGCTAGCTAGTCTCCACTTCTAATCCAGCTCCCTGCCAACACCCTTTGGAAAGCAGCAGAAGATGGCCCAATTTCTTGGACGCCTGTAATCATGGTGGAAATCTGGGAAAAGTTCCTGGCTCCTGGCTTCACACCCTCCCAGATCCTATCATTGCAGCCATTTGGGGTATGAATCACTCAATCTTTCAAATAAATTAAATATAAACAACTTTTTTTTAGGAGGCAAACAGGAAATAAATCATGAATGCTTTGTATAATACACCAAGAACTTTGAAGTATGTCTTATAAGCATGAAGAGGTACCCCGAAATAACTTCAACTGTCAAAACATTATTAAAACAAATTTAAAACTGACAAAACTTGCAAAAATATCAAGGAGAAAAATCCAGAAAAAAAAAAAAAAACAATGCTCAGTGATTTAAATATTTTCGTTGCAACACAAGGTAAATTGAAACCAAAACAGAATGTAAGAAACTGAAATAAGTACAAACAAGCCCTATCCCCAGCATTCTCTATTTTTAACAAAGGCACAGTGCTCCTGTTTCCTGGCTCCATTATCCACTTCCTCCAATTGTTGAAGGCCCCAAATTCATCATTTTCAAGTTTCTCTCCTCCACAAAAAAAGAACAGACCAGTCCCTGTCACCTGCTCCTCTGCCTATAGATCCACAAACAAATGTATCCTAGTATAAAGAACTCAAGGTCCTTAGGGGCAAGCAACATCAGACGCTGCAAACACCACAATATATACATAGCACAGAGTGCAAACAGATAAAAACACATTTCCAGAATGGCTGAGACACGGGAACTAAATGAAAAAGATTTAATTCAGAAAACAGGGGTGAGGGGGGAAAGCTGATGCTTTCACAAAAATCACAAACAGCAAACATCTCTTTTGCTATCTGAATCTGCTTGCACCCGAAATAACCAGATACATTTTTGAAAACTGTGTCACAACAACAAACACTACCACAGGGTTCACAGAATTCTCAAGCTCCTGGGCCTTAATCCAATTTTCATATATTTTAACAATGTGTCCACTAAGCCCAGAGTTCTATTTCCTCACATGCAGAGTAGAAACATGATTTTAGCTGTCACATCAGGAATAGCCAATTAACAGTTATACAATATGATAATGCAAATTAGGGAAGATATAAGATATACCAAACTCATTATTTCGCAGTTACTGCTTTGAAAAAAAGGCAATATTTGTTTTTTCAAAATCAATAAAAATATGAAGTAAAGAGACAATAGCAAATGGCAAAAAATTATCACGGTAGTGTGACTTCTTGGTGAAGCAATGACAGCTGTCCTGTGAGCACAGGATATGGCTGTGATTGACTGTTTCCTGGTTCTAGGTTGTGTTCTGGAATGATTAGGAAAAAATGTGACCTTTAGTTAACTGAGTTTGTATGCTGCATTTAAGTTCATTCAGAATAAAACAAACACAGCATCATGCATACAGAAAACCTACCACGTACAAGGGAAAAACGCAATATTTTTTGGAAAAAAAATCAAAGCAAGTCTGTCATTCCTCTTCTGGAACCAAGGCAGCAATTTTCTGTTGTAAATCTATTGAGCACAAGCACCTAAAATCAAAAAAGCCTAGCAAGATGGGCAATCAGTACCTTCTATGATCACTCCATCTACACCTCACGTGTCACAGGAGCCCGGTATCAAGAGGTTTTTCTGCCATTTGTTAGCATTTGTATCATCTTATTCTTTCTCATCAGCTCTCACCACTTTTAAAGAACAAATGATAAGGGGCCAAAAGATGCCTTCTACATCCACTCAGCTGGTGACAGAAATAACTTTTCTTATTTTCCTAAAAAAGCTTTTTAGATGAGATCTCAAACCATTGTAGCTAAAGACATCTCACAAATTTCAAGCATTCACTTTCCGGGTAGGCAAGCCCGTGGGAGAACCACTTTTACCTGAGACATCTGAGAACCAGCCTTGGCATAGCAGGAACTTTACAGAATCCTGTCTCTGCCAACCCCTGGACCACCTGCTGGACACTCTGCACACGCACTGTCCGAAAGCTACCAACATGGGAAGATCAACAGCAAAAAAATCCAGTGATACTCCGTCCTTTTTCCTTCCTCAAACAGGGTCTCTTTCGGTTCCCTCTATCAGCAGCTGCAGCGGCAGCACTAACACTGTGCTGACTAACGACTAAGGACGAACAAAAAGGATGAGGTGAAACAACACTTTACAGGGCTCTCCCTCCCACCCCCACCCTTCCTCCGTCCACCCCGAACTGCACTCTGAACTCTGAGCCTTTGCTTCGCGCGTCTGCAGTCAAGCCAAGGGTGGACCCTCCTAGTCCACTCCTTGGAGCAATTATGTCAGGGCCATCTCACCCGTGTGGTCACCATGTAGTCCATTAACCCCAACTACGCAATGTGGGCGGCAGGCAAAGGGCCCGGGGGTGCTGATGTCCGCTTAAAGCGCGGCAACTACGAGCCCGACACCCCGCCTCCGCCAGCCCCTTTCACGGTCCCCCCTTATCGGGCCCAACCTGCTGGTTCTGGGCCAGAGTGTCCCCTCCTCTCTTGAAGCCCAACCCGCCAACTTCTCAACAGTCACAATACACCGTTTCTTCTCAAGACACCAGCCGCACCTTCAGCTGCCTCAGCACCCCCCTGGACACTCACCAAGCTCCTCCCGACCACTGGTCTCTCTGGCCGCGGCAGCTGTTCGGACTCTCCAGCTCTGGACTTGGAGCTGCGCCCTGGTCGCGCCTGCGCGCGCTGGAGTCGCGAGGCTGCGCACTTCCAGGGCGCCGAGGCGGCGGACACACCCCTACGGCCGGAGCCAATCACGGAGCGGGGGTGTTAAATCTCCCTTGCCACGCAGGCCTGGAGCCTGAGAACTCACCCGTTAACCCGACGGCTTCCAGTCCCCCCCTCGCAGATGGGCGAGCCGTGTGCCCCGCACGGTGCGGGGTCAGCCCTGAGGGAAAGGAGGCAGCTGGCTGGGACGCGCCGAGCACTGTTCAGGGCCAGCCCTGAAGGAAAGGAGGCGGCTGGGAAGGGCTCCCTGTGCTGCGGGGCCCCGTTGAGCGACCCACAGACCGGACGGAACACACATGGGAGCACGCAGGAAATTCGAGGCGCCTGCGGCTCACCATGAACAAGGCCTTTTGATCTTAGGAGTATCTGTAAGTGTTCCTGGAGGAAGTGACTTTGGAGTCGTGAAGGATAAATCGGATTCTTCGGAAATCCTTAGGGAGGAAAGTCAAATTTTGCTGCCTTTGCAAACAGCATATACCAAGAACAACATGGCGCCTTTGGAAATCAAGTTTATTCTTGAGAGAGGGCTTAGAGCCTATAGTACATCCCTGAATGACGGGACAACAAATAAGCTCTTGTGAAAAGACTGGCACAGCCAGACCTTGTGGAAGTCTTAAAGTTTTGGAAACACCTTGACCACTGAGCACTTGTTGGCTATTTTAAACCATTTGTTTGAGGAACTTGCCCCTTTAAGAATAAGATGTTCTCACTTTTCTGTCTTTGGGTCAAAAAGGAATAATTTGTTCCACAGGGATCACAGATGATTCAGAACTAAACTTTTTAATTTCATAACATAGAAGGCAAAAGTAATCATTCTGAAAGCTGTTTGGTAAAAGGAAGGGATTGAAAACTAGGCTACCAGCATGGTAGCTAGTGGTTAAACCTTCACCTTGTGTGTGCCAGGATCCCTTATGGGTTCCAGAATGTGACTCAGATGCCCTGCTTCCTATCCAGCTCCCTGTTTGTGGCCTGGGAAGGCAGTAGAGGACAGCTCAAAGCCTTGGGACCCTACACCATCATGGGAGACCTGAAGCAGGCTCCTGACTTTGGGTCAGCTCAGCTCCAGCAGTTGTGGCCACTTGGGGAGTGAACCAACAGATGGAAGATCTCTCTCTGTCCCTCCTTCTCTCTGTACATCTGACTTTCCAATAGAAAAAAAATTTTTTAAAGTTAAAGCCTAGATGGCAGGACTGGCTTTGTGGCACAGGGATAAATCACTGCCCACAATGCCAGCATTCTATATAAGCAATGCCTGCAGTCCTGGCATTTTTAGTTCCAATCCAGCTTCCTGTTAATGCAGTAGGGAAAGCAGCAAAAAGACAACCCAAGGCACCTGCCATCCACACAGGAGACATGAATGGAGTTCCAGGCTGCCATTGTGGCCTTTTAGGGAGGGGACTAGCAGATGGAAGATCTGTCTCTGTGTGTCTCGCTGTAACATTCATATTCAAATATTGCAGAAACTTCTTCAGGGTCGGCCGCATTGGTTGCAAATATTTGGGCCATCTTGCTTCCTTAGCAGGGAGCCAGATGAGAAGGTAGAGTAGCTGGGGCATGAACCAGTGCCCATATGTGATACGGCATCACAGGAGGCAGCTTTACTTACTACACCACAATGCCAGCCCTGTAAATAAGTCTTACAACAACAAAAACTAGATTGCAGTACTTTGGAGATGGAAGAGATGCAGAAATTCAGACGGCTTATGGAATACTTTTTGAAAGTTTGATAGCCAGTTGAGAAGTGAATCAGTAGATGGAAGATCTCTCCATCCCTCCGAACCCCTTTCTAAAACTCTGATTTTCAAGTAAGCTAAATAAATCTGTAAGAAAAAAAATTTTTTGGTTTTGAGGAAGAGGAAAGAGAGGATGCTAAAAGGTCAAGGCTTTTTTAAAATTTGAAACATAGGACCTGGCACGATAGCCTAGCGGCTAAAGTCCTCACCTTGCACATGCCAGAATCCCATACAGGGAGTGGTTCTAATTCGACTTCCCATCCAGCTCCCTGCTTGTGGCCTGAAAAAGCAGTAGAGGACAGCCCAAAGCCTTGGGACCCTGCACCTGCATGGGAGACCAGGAAGAGGCTCCTGATTCCTGACTTCAGATTGACTCAGCTCTAGCCGTTGCAGCCATTTGGGGAGTGAATCATTGGACAGAAGATGTTCCTCTCTGTCTCTTCTCCGGAAGATCTTCCTCTTTGTCTCTTCTCTTCTCTGTACATCTGACTATCAAATAAAAATAAATAAATCTTTAAAAATTTAAAATATAAAAGTTAAAAACATGTCTATGGGGGCCCGGCGCGGTGGCGCAAGTGGTTAAAGGTCCTCACCTTGCACGCCCGGGATCCCATATGGGCGCCGGTTCTAATCCCGGCAGCCCTGCTTCCCTTCCAGCTCCCTGCCTGTGGCCTGGGAAAGCAGTCGAGGACGGCCCAGAGTTTTGGGAACCTGCACCTGTGTGGGAGACCCGGAGGAGGCTCCTGGCTTCGGATCGGCATAGTATCGGCCCGTTGCGCTCACTTGGGGAGTGAATCATCGGACGGAAGATCTTCCTCTCTGTCTCTCCTCTCTGTATATCCGCCTTTCCAATGAGAAAATAATAAAAATAAATCTTTAAAAAAAAAAAAACATGTCTATGTATTTGAAAGAATTAGAGAGAGGCAGAAAAATCTTGCATCCACTTCTTCACTCCCCAATGGAATAGAACTGCAACTCTCTTGAGTGAGTGGCAAGGCAGTATGCCACAATGCCAGCTTCCGATGATACATTTTGAATTATTGTTATAACCACGAGAAATTTGAACATGGTACAGAAGATCCATCTTAGAAAAATAGAAGAGGAGAAGTGATAGGATTTGGAGAGGGTAAGAGCAGAAGCAATTCAAAGCCCTGGTGGTTAAGGTTGTAAAATTGGCAGCCTGTAATTGCAACAATTGCAGTTGCACCTGCTCAACTTCTGATCCCACTCTCTCTGCTAATGTGCCAGGAAAGCAGTCAAACTTTGCCCAAGTGCTTGGGCCCCTGCCATTCCTCTTCCTTTAGCCTGGCCAACCCAGGCCATTGCAGCCATGTGAAGAGTAAATCAGAGGATGGAAGGTCTGTATGTCTCTTCCTCTCTCTCTCTCTCTCTCTCTCTCTCTCTCTCTCTCTGTAACCTGCTGACTTTCAAATAAATGAATCTTTCTTTGAAAAAAGAAAAAAGAGAAAGAGAATGTGCCACTGATGGCAGAATTGGTCCTGAAGGGGAGAGAAATGGGGTATCTCTTCATCATGAGAGAGGAAGCATTTGTAAAATTGTATGTTTCGTAAAAGGAAGTTAAAGAATTTCTCATCTGATGACGTATTTTCTTGGTGAAGTAACAGAGCTTTGTTCTATTGGTGAAGAAAGAGTTGGTGTTGGGAGTGTCAAAGTTGAAGTTTTAACATGTTTTAGTAGAAAGTAGTGGAGCCAGTTGCAAGAGAAAAGCTGTGGAACTACTCAGCAGTGTTGAGGAACTGTTTAAAACGAATGATAAACATGAACCCACCAGTCCTTGTGTTCTTAAGCAATAATCGCTTTTAAGAGCAGAGCTAGGGACTGGCACTGTAGCCTAATCTTCCACCTGCAGTACTGGCATCCATGTGGGCTCCTGCCGTTCCACTTCTGATCCAGCTCACTGCTTATGATATAGGCAATCAGTGGAGGATGGCCCAAATTCTTGGGCCACTACGCCTACGTGGGAGACTGGAGGAGGCTCCTGCCTCCTGGCTTTGGATCTGCTCAACTCTAGCCTTTGTGGACATTTGGTGAGTGAACCAGCAGATGAAAGATCTCTCTCTCTCTTTCCCTCCTCTTATTTCTCTTTCCTCTGTTTCTCTTTCCTTCTCTCTGTAAATCTGTCCTTTGAATCAAACAAATCTTTAAAAAAAAAAAAATAAATAAAAGCAAGGGGCCCGGCGGCATGGCCTAGCAGCTAAAGTCCTCACCTTGAACACCCTGGGATCCTATATGGACACCGGTTCTAATCCCAACAGCTCTACTTCCCATCCAGCTCCCTGCTTGTGGCCTGGGAAGGCAGTTGAGGACGGCCCAAAAGCTTTAGGACCCTGCACCCGTGTGGCAGACCCGGAAGAAGTTCCTGGATCCTGGCTTTGGATCGGCATAGCGTCGGCTGTTGCGCTCACTTGGGGAGTGAATCATCGGAAGGAAGATCTTCCTCTCTGTCTCTCCTCCTCTCTGTATATCTGATTTAGCAATAAATAAGTAAATCTTTAAAAAAAAAAAAAAAGCGGCTAAAATGTAAAAAAAAAAAAAAAAAAAAAAAGCAGAACAAAATTTAAAAATAAAAGCAAAGATGGGGAAAACAAGGATGAATTCACTTAGGGTTGGCACAGTCTTTCATATAATACCCCAATTCTCAACCCAGGACATCTGGAAACGTCTCAAGATGTTCCTGATTATTTTAATGACAAGGAGGAAGGCACAAGCAAGGTACTAATGGCATCTACTTTCCAGGGATACTGCTAGCCTTTAGAATGCACAGACCCTGGCAACAAAAAATTATTCCCAAATGTGTATGTTGTAAAGGTTGAGAACCCCTGAGCCAGGTTACCTTGATCTTCTCCAGTATGTGACTTTGGTCTTCTATAGGCTTTTGCTTGGATTATGGCCATGAGCTTGTCAATGAAGCAGTTCTTCCATTTTGTGCCTTTAAAGGAGCCTAGAACGAGAGGCATACCATAGACCTTGTTTCAAAGACTTGTGATGTCACAAATATAGAATTAGAAGACTCATAAATGAAGGTAGCTGCTTCCTTTTATTGGACACATTAAACATGTGGTTATACAAAGGCATTATTATGATTTCAGTAATATAGAAGGGTAGCACTGGGACAGGAGGCAGCCAAACATTAACTAGGAAAGGTAAGAAAGGGAAATTCCTAAACTTTTTCATAGTCTGTTTTTCACAGTCTCTGCTTCCCTTTTTCAAAACCTTGTGGCAGGGCCTGGCACAATAGTCTAGTGATTGGATCCTTGCCTAGTGTCTGCTGGGATCCCATATGGGCGCCAGTTTGTGTCCCAGCTGCTCCACTTCCCACCCAAGTGGCCGGTAAAGTAGTGGGGGATGGCTCAAAACCTTGGGACCCTACACCTGCATCAGGGACCTGGAGGAGACTCTAAATTTCAGATCAACTCAGTCCTGGCCATTGTGGCCAGTTGGGGAGTGAATCAGCAAAGAATCATTCTCTGTGTGTGTCCTCCTATCTGCTTTTCCAGTCAAAATAAATCTTAAAAAAAAAAAAGAAAGAAAAGAAAAGAAACCTTGTGGCAGGTGACAAACATAATGGGTAACTGGGGGAAGCTAGGAAAAAAAATTACAAGCTTAAAAAAAAAAACCTTCCCTTAAAAGTTGTAAAGATATAGATGGGGCCAGTACAGTGTACTAATCCTCTGCCTGCAAAATCGGCATCCTATATGGGTACTGGTTCTCATCCCAGATGCTCCACATCTGATCTAGCTCCTCGCTAATGCATCTGGGAAAACAACAGAGGATGGCTCAAGTGCTTGGCGTCCTGACCTTATGTGGGAATCCCATAGGAGGTTCCTGGTTTCTAGCTTCCAATCAGCTGTTGTGATCATTTGGGGAGTGAACCAGTGAACAGAAGATTCTCTCTCTTCTCTGTAAAATTGCCTTTCAAAAGAAAATGAATAAATTAAAAAAAAAAAGCTGTATGTACAGACATGACAATCGCCAGATGGCCTACACACCAGGAGACTCCCAAAACTAACAGCCCCTCACTCACTGTAAACTATGAAACCACAGGCCAATTATCTTTGGGGCTTCCACCTGAGCTTGGATTATTACTTTCTACTCTTTTTTCCCCCCAAAGGTTTATTTCTTTGTGTTCTTTTTTTTTAACTATGCAATTCCACATAGTTAGTAGGCAATAATATTTTTTAAGATTTATTTTTATTGGAAAGTCAGATTACAGAGAGGAAGATCCTCCATATGAAGATTCACTCTCCAGGTAGCCATAATGGCTAGAGCTGAGCCAATCTGAAGCCAGGAGCCCAGAGTCTCCTCTGGCTCTCCCATACAGGTACAGGGTCCCAAGTCTTTGAGTCGTCCTCAACTGCTTTCCCGGGCCCCAAGCAGGGAACTGGGTGAGAAGTGGAACAGCTGGGACATGAACCAGCGCCTATAAGGGATCTCAGCGTGTGCAAGGTGAGGACTTTAGCCACTACGCTACTGTGCCCGGCCCAGGCTTATTTATTGATTTGAAAGTTAGAGTTACAGAGTAAAGGGGAAAGAACTTCCACTGCTGTTTCATTGCCCAAGTGGCCACAGCCCTCACAGAAAGCCAGGATCTAGGAGCTTTATCAGTCTCCCAATGCTGGGGTCTGTGCAATGGGTGTGGATGACACCAACGTGTGAAGAGAGCAGCTCCCCGTTGGCAAGGCCATGAGGAGCTTCCAGCTGTTTGGCAAGGCCCGGCAGATGTCTCTCCAACCACCTTGACACAGTCTCACCCCCTTTTGCACGGACACTCAACCACCACACTAAGAATTCTGTAACCTATTGAGGCATTGTTGTTTACCCTTGTGAGATGGTTTTTGCAACCAGTGTCAACTTAGGAGTTAATGTTGCTAATCATGTCTTGGTGAGTGGGCCTTTAATAATTTCAAATGGAGTACAATTAAGTCCATGCAATTACTGGACACCTTATTGTGTGCCTACCCACTGCCCTGGAATCTGGCCCAGGGAAAGGGCTTGATGAGAATCTTTTTTTTTTTTTTATGGTTTTAACAATGACTTTTCCCCCCATTTTTTTTCTCTTTATTTTTGACAATCTTTACATAGTTAATTAGGGCACAAAAGTTCAAGGGCTACAGGAAAGTGGGTAAGACTATTTTTTTCAACATTTTTTTCCTGTATCTGGAGTAAGGGGGGAGGTAAAGGGAGAAGCCCCACCTGGTCTCACACTCATCCCAGATCCCTGATATGGGGCATGCTCCAAGGGTCTTGCTCAAGTGGTGTTGATAGTTCAGTAGTCATGAGTTGCTGCCAATCTTGCCATTCCAAGCACGATGAGGTCACTGAAGAATCCACTAATTGACATATTCCATCTTAGAGTCTCCGTTTGCCCAGTTTCCTACTGCAGACGTGTGGCTGGGGTAGTTGACTGACTTGTTCTCTCCTCTGTCTTTTCATGGTTAGGGTTCTGAGTCTGGCAGTTAAAGAGCTCAGCTCGGGTCCCTCCGTCCCCAAAGCTTGTGCACTTTGCCATTAGACTTCAGCTAGGTTTTGCCAGGATGCAATGGTTTGGAAATTTACCTTGCAAAGGGATCACTGCCTAAGGTGGGGGACCCAGGCAGAAACGAGGCGCCAAGACAGAGGCCCGGAAAGCACAAACAGGGTGAAACAGGCACGGGACAGGCTAGACCACCGGACGCTGCACAGCCGCGGGGCTCCAAGCATGCTGCCCTGCCTTTCTCCCGTAAGCCTCTTACCCTGTGTCCGTTGTTCACGCCCTCGTGTTTAAATAAAGCTAGGTTATTGAGAGAGGCGGATTGAAAAGTAGGGAAAAAAAAAAAAAAAGAAGTGCGGCTGCGCGCCTGCGCGCTGGCGGCGGCGGCGGCGGCAGTGCCCGGCGGGGAGCGGGTCCGGAGCTGGTCGCCGGACCCAGAACTGGGGGGGTCTGTTCGGGGCGTGAGGGAGCTCCCTCGCCGGGCCGTTGGCGGCTTGATGGAGTAAGAGGGGTCGTCTGTGGATGTGAGTATCGGAGGACTGGCCTGCGTTGTGCGTTTGGGAGCCCGAGGGTCCCGATGGTCTGTTCGTGCGCCGAGCTGTAGGGCTGCGGGGTTGTGGGACGGCGGCCGGCTCTGCGCTCCCGCCGGCCCGGCCGACCCCTCTGCTCGAGCCGCACGGGCTTCCGGGCTTCCCGACAGCCAGTGCTCTGGCTTCGGGGTGCAGATTTCTCGCCGAGGCGTTCCGACTGTGTCCTTGGCCCCCAGAAAGAGACGTGACTCCGAAGCCCTTAACCTCCAGGGAAGGCCGCTGACCTTCGGCCCCGGGAATCCACAGACCCTGGTGCATGAAAGCCGGGGGGCTCCTCCTGGGCCTCCCCTGCCTTACAGTCACTCTTTCCGTCGGTTGGTTTCCCTTCCTTAGACGTGTTGATAATAGCAACTTATGGAGTGTTTACTATGTGTCCATTTAATATTGAATACTAGTCTTGGTGTTTTGTTATGGCGGGGAGATGCTTCCGCTGCCCCTCCCCCATCTATTCAGTGTAATTAGCTAAGATTAAGCCATCTTGGAAAGTTTGAGATTTCCACGTCCCGTAGCAATTTAGGACCGCCGTCCTAGTCAAGGAAGTTCTCTTTGCAAGTGCGTCTTCTATCCACCATAATGGTCTAATAGTGAGTTGTTTTTATAAACCACTAATGACTTTTGAGTGCTTACTGAGATTGGGATACTGCTTCACATCCCATGGGAAATCGTAAAAAAACAAAACAAAATTCTTTGAGCCCTGGTACCCACTTGGTGGTGGAGTGGAAGAGAATATTTAGATTCACCTAGGCATTATTTAGCATATGCTACACGTGTGTCCATCGCACTCAGGTGTCACCTAAACTGAGATAATTGTGATGGAAGACGATCTTTGAGCAGCAGAGTCAGATGGGGTTGCTGAGGTTCTGAAGGTGGTTTGTTGAAGGTAATGTAGCCATTGTAAGTGGCGAAATTGTCTGATATGATGCGGAAGCTCGTGTTTTTACTGTTACGGTGGTTTACATGTTCCAACTACTTGTGCTGGGAAATCATACTGTTACAGTTTATAAACTCGGGAAAATGGTAGGAGCTTTTAATTAACGACACTTACTAGAGGTTTTGTTGGAAGAGAATTTAAAAATTAGAAAATGGTCTGGGAGGCCCGGTAGGATGGCCTAGCAGCTAAAGTCCTCACCCTGAGCGTGCCGGGATCCCATATGGGCGCCCGTTCTCCAGCTCTCTGCTTGTGGCCTGGGAAAGCAGTAGAGGACGGCCCAAAGCCTTGGGACCCTGCACCCGTGTGGGAGACCTGGAGGAGGTTCCTGGCTCCTGGCTTCAGATCAGCACAGTATGGCCACTGTGGCCACTTGGGGCGTGAATCATCAGACGGAGGATCTTCCTCTCTGTCTCCCCTCCTCTCTGTATATCTGACTTTCCAATAAAAACAAAATAAATCCTTTTAAAAATGGTCTGGGAAGGAGGTTGAGGACGGAAGGAATCTGATCTGACTAGCTCAGAACCGGTTGCTTTGTTGAACAGGAAGATAATTAAAAGCTGTGCATGGGGATTGTTGTACCTCTAGGAGAGCACACATGAAGTGAAGGCTGCTGTATCGAGGAAGCAAGGATGCTGGAGAACTTGGTTCTGGGAAGTATTTCGATTGTGTGTGTTGTAGTTGGAGTATCTTAATGGGAGGTTACCAGTGAGCGAGTGAATTAGGGTGTGTGATTTTGATTCTGAAAGAGACTGTCAAATAAAGACAGTTCCCCATTCATCAGGAGACGGCTGGTTAAAAAATGTGTATGTTTATAATGAGCTCACTAATGTACTAATACTGGGTATGCAAAGCAGACTGTTTTCTAATCATTATGGTCTTAAGAAAAAAATATGTACTGCATATACAGACTAGCATTAGAAATAGAATAATGGTTGCCAGTGACTGGGTTTAAAAGAAATTGGGTCTAAAAAAATGGGTGTAGTTTTGTTTTAAAGATTATAATTTGTTATTGACTAAACTTGTAGCAATCACTAGAGCTTTGATGAGAAGTCAATCAAGGGCCTCCCAGGTCCCTTTTCCCCCCAGAGGCAGTTTTTATTGGGCACTTTCTTAGATATCCAGTTAGAGATACTATATATTGATGTTTCTCACCAGGGTAAATCTTGACTTTAACAGATGCAAGCATTTTAATAGTATAATAAGGGTGGGAAATATTGGCCTGCTGGCCCTATAAGGCATGTGAAATTATTTGGGCTAGCAAGTTTGGACTTGAAATTCAGCAAATCTATGCAATGCTGATTTTTTTTTTTTAAAGATTTATTTAATTTTTATTGCAAAGGTGATATACAGAGAGGAGGGGAGACAGAAAGGAAGATCTTCCCTCTGATGGTTCACTCCCCAAGTGGTCACAACAGCTGGACCTGAGTCAATCCGAAGCTAGCAGCCAGGAGCTCTTCTGGGTATCCCGCGTGGGTGCAGGGTCCCAAGGCTTTGGGCCGTCTTCAACTGCTTTCCTAGGCCACAAGCAGGGAGCTGGATGGGAAGCGGGGCCACCAGGATTAGAGCTGGTGTCTGTATGGGATCCTGGGCATGCAAGGCGAGGACTTTAACCACTACACCATCGCGCCAGACCCTCAATGCTGATTTTTTTTAAAAAAGATTTATTTTATTTTTATAGGAAAGTCAGATATACAGAGAGGAGGAGAGACAGAGAGGAAGATCTTCTGTTCTATGATTCACACCCCAAGTGACCGCAATGGCCGGTGCTTGCGCCGATCTGAAGCCAGAAATCAGAAACCTTCTCCTCCAGGTCTTCCTCACGGGTGCAGGTTCCCAAGGCTTTGGGTCATCCTTGACTGCTTTCCCAGGCCACAAGCAGGGAGTTGAATGGGAAGCGGGACTGCTGAGATTAGAACTCGCGCCCATATGGGATCCTGGTGTGTTCAAGGCAAGGACTTGAGCCACTGGGTCACACACTGGGCCCAAGATTTATTTTTGTTGGAAAGTCATATCTACAGAGCGAAGGGGAGACAGAAAGATCCTCTGTCCACTGGCTCACTACCCAAGTGGCTCAGCTGCTGGAGCTGAAGCCGAGAGTCAGGAATGTCCCCCAGGTCCCTCATGCAGATGCAGGGTCCCAAGGCTCTGGGCCATCCCTGACAGCTTTCCCAAGCCATAAGCAGGGAGCTAATGGCGAAGTGGAGCAGCTGGGACATGAACTGGCACCCACATGGGATCCCAGCACAGGCAAATTGAGGACTCTAGCCACTAGGCTACTGTGCCGCTGGGCCCATAAGGCTGACTTTTAAGTTAATAATCTAGTATGGCCTACAAATGATGTTACAAATACCCAAATGGCCTTTGGCGGAAACATGGTTTCCTCCTTTTGTATAATTACGATAATGCTGTTGAACATTGTACTCGACTTTTTGTTACTTGTTTCTATTCTAGACATCTGTGCTAATTTGTTCTACAAATAATGGATGCCTAGTCTAGATGACTTTGCCAAGTAACAAAAATAAAATGATGGATAAGAAGACATTCGTACCAGTCATTATGGAGTGTATATTCTGCTGGGACAGGCTGTCATCAAACTATCATACTAATCATTAAGTACGTTTAAGATTTAGTAGGTGCCTTCTTTAAATGGATTTACTAATTTATTCCTCACAGTAGTGCAATAATGTGGTATTTGATCTGTGTGGAAACTGAGGCACAGAAATTAAACCACCTGCTCAGAATTAGAGTGTGCTGTGTGGCAATTTGGTTACCCTAATGCAGTGATTTACATTTAGTTTAGGTTCATCATCCAAAGAGGTGCAGAATTTATTTATTTGTTTATTTATTTATTTTGGATTGTTTTCAAAATGTTTAGAAGGATAGCTTGGCAATGGATTAGATATGTGGGATATTGGATATCCTGCTGTATAAAGGACTTCGTAGAGTGAAAAAGTTGTTCAGCTTCTTATCACTTTTCTGTTTTTAGAAAGTTAGTTTTTAGAGGGCTGGCATTGTGGTGTGGCAGGTTAAGCTGCCACTTGGGACTGTTGTCCTGTATTGGAATGCTGGCTTGAGTCCCAGCAGCTGCCTTGATTCTGATCCAACCTCATGCCAGTGTGCCTGGGGAAGCAGTTGCAGGAGATGGCCAGAACACGAGCCCCTGCTGTTCACATGGCAGGACTGGATGGAATTCCTGGTTCCTGGCTTAAGTCTGGCACAGCTCTGGCTGTTGTGGGTGTTTGGGTAGCAACCAGGTAGATGGAGGATCTTTCGTTTTCTGTCACTCTGTCTCTCAAGCAAATCATGTTTTTAAAATATTAATTTTAAGCTGAAAAATTACATATATTGTGTACAGCATAATACCTTAAAATATTTGCTTATTGTAGAGTAGCTAGATGGAACTAATTAACCTATGCATTACCTTACATCTCACTTTTTATGGTGAGAATGTTTAAATTTTGCAAAGCTTTCTAACTTCCCCCAGGATATTCATGTTGATGAAAAATTTGTTTATAATTATCTGAGCCTAGATTCAAAGCTGTTTTACATATACTGTGTTTTTTGCATGAAACCTAGTTTTGTTATAAATCAAGATATTATGGGGGTTGACTGTGGCACCGCAGGCTAATCCACTCTCTGCAATGTTGACATCCTCTATGGATGCTAGTTTGTTGTCCCGTCTGCTCTACTTTCGATCCAGCTCTCTGCTAATGTGCCTGGAAACAGTGCAAAATGGGTCCATGCACCCACTTAGGAGACCTGAATGAAGCTCTTTGCTTCTTGCTTTGGTCTGGCCCAGCTCCAGTTCTTGCAACCATTTGCAGAGTGAACCTGCAGATGGAAGATCTTTCTTTGTTTCTCTGCCTTTCAACTAAATAAATGCAAAGTAAATCTTGGGGCTAGTGTTGTGGCAAAACGCGCTAAGCATCAGCCTGTGATACCAGCATCCTGTATAGTGTCAGTTTATGTTCTAGCTGCTCTGCTTGCTTTTTAAGAAAAATAT